CAGGCGACTCGACGGCACATAACAACAACAACAACACTTTGTATTTACTTGGTTCCTTTTTAAGATTACTCCTTATTGATAATCTTATTTTGTTCACCTTGCTTTTCTGATTCCTCTGGCTGTTCCCTTTTTTTCCTTTCATTCTTCTATGCATCGTCAATAAAAACAAATAGACAATTCTGGTAGTCTCGGCTTTCTTCCAAGAACCCTCTGACATCAGCTGTGATATTCCTGGTGCTCTGGCCTCTGCTAAATTCCGCTTGAACTCCTGGTAGTTTTCTCTTGCTGTACTGTTCGTAGCTGGATTTGGATAAACTTCAGCAGTATTTTACTTGCGTGTGATATTAGTGATATTCTTGCAGGTGATATTAGTGATAGTATTCTATAATCTCCATATTACGTTGGATCACCTTTTTTTGAGAATGGAAATAAATATAGATCTCTTCTAGTCAGTTGGGTAAACTGCCTTCCAAATTTCTTTTTTTAAAAATTTTTATTTTTTTATTAATTTTAATGAAAGTTTACAGAGACGTAGGGTTTGCAGTTATTCATTGTTGCACTTTTCTCCCTGCCCACTCTATCCCCTCAATTCACTTTTCTCCTTGATGAGTAAAAGAAAAACTCTTTAATTGCTATGCAATCCCTCCCCCCAAGTCCACTGCACTGTGCAGCCTTCATTCTGGACTCCTGTCATGACAATACTACCTAATCATAAATCCCTTTTAAACAGTTCTCTCCCTCATCTGTTGCAGTGCAGTATACAAATTTCTTGACAAAGACTAGTGAGCATGTCTGTGCCAAAAATTTGTATCTGTTGAAACATGTATCTATTGAAACATGTCAGTATTTGCATCAACTCCTGGGTCTTATTTTTCCCCAGTGCTTTCAGTGTCACTTGAATGTCTTCCTTCATTAACATTGGTTCTGGATCATATGCTATTTCCTGAAATTGTTCTGTATCAATCCATTCTTTCTGATATAATGACACTGTGTATTCTCTCCATCTTCTCTTGATGCTTCCTGGATCATTCACGATTTTGCTCATAGCATCCTTCAGTTTTGCAACTCAAGGCTTGAATTTATTCTTCAGTTCTTTCACCTGGATAAATGCTGAGTGAGTTTCATGATCTTTATTGCCAACTAAGCCACAGCAACATACCTCACTGCTTCAGCTTCTTTTTAGGTGGTAGCTTAGAAATAGAAGGTAGAACACTGAGTTAGAAGGAAATGAACATGTAAAACTGATAAAAGAATCAATTGATAAGTAATTTAGATTACTTTTATTATGTGTGGAACAAAACTTGATTGCCTTTAAGTCAATTCCAGCTCCTAGTGAACCCTGTAGGACTGATTAGAATTGCTCACTAGGGTTTCCAAAGTCAGAGAAAGATGAGTAGTCTTCTTCCATTGAATTTACAGCCTTGAAAACCCTATGGAGGTTAAGTTACAAGTTGGTTCCAGCTTGATGGCAATGACTGAATCTTTACAGAAGCAGACAGTGACATCTTTTTTTCTTGGAGCAATTGGTACTTTCAAACTGCTGACCTTTCAATTAACAGTTGAATGTTTAACCACTGTGCTACCCTATGATAGATGTGAGGGCTCTGTGTGATATATATACACCAGAACAACCAAACTCACCCTCATTGAGAGAATCCTGACTCAGCAACCCTCTATCTGCCTTTTAAAGCAAGAAATCTCATTAGGAGGGCACTGCCTCTAGATCCTGAGAAACTGCTGGTGGATTCAAACTGCTGGAGTCACGTGACCTTCAGGCTAGCAGAGCAGTATGTTGTAGACTACGGCACTCGAGGTCCTTATGTGACATATATGTTGTTCTTCACTGCTGTAGACTCATTTCTAACTTAAAACTATTCTCATTGTTGAGACTGTACATCATAATGAAAGGAGACTGCTCATCTTTCTCCTTGAGGATCCACTGGTAGCTTTTAACCACTGGAGAAGCTTGGCCTTTGGGTTAACAGTGCAACTCACTACAAATTGTATCACCTGTGCTTAGTAAAAATTGGTCAGATATATGGATTGAATATACATGTCTAAAATATAGTCATTTGTTGTTTATTCTTATGCATCTTTTCTTTTTAGAGAATCTTTAAAAGAAAATAGAATCTTTCTCTGGGCATTTTAAAAACCTCAATAATTTCCTTAAGAGATCTGCCTAATTTGTGTTAGGATAGAAGTACACTGCAAATATGGGCCTTCTGCCACCAAATCTTGGATTTATTCTTTAAGTAGTGATGGAAATATCATAATTTTTATGGTAAATGATGTGTGAGACATTAAAAAATATGGTGTTTGATATATATTGGTAATAAATAGTTTGTTACTGGCAATTCTTGTGAAATGTGATTTAAATAATAAATTATGTCATTGAGTCCTAATTACAAAGTCCTTTATAAGACACTGTGTTCTTCTGATTAAAAAAGAAAAAGCACCATATAATTAATTCTACAGATGTGTATAGGAAAAAAGTATTAGACTATAGGGACACAAAAATGAACAACTATGGGTCTTGCTTTTCAAGAACCTTTATTCCAACCACAAATGGTGAATTGTTAAAACTACTGTGTAAAACAGTTTGTGGTAGTATTAGAAGCTTTAAAAATGTGTTTACCTCTTGATGTAGCACTTTTACTTATAGGAATTTGTCATAAGAAAACAGTCTTAAGTTATATATAAGGATTTCTAATTTTAATCTCATCTTCTTGTTGTTGATTGCTATTGAGTCAAGCATGACTCATAGCGACCCTATGAACAAAAGGCCTAAAGCCCCACTATAACTACTGACATTTATCAAAGTTCCGAAGAGTTTCTGGAGGCATGTTATTTAGGAAGTGGATGCCACTCTTGCTTCTTTCATATAACCTAAAATTCCTTCCTCTTCACCTCCACTTGACAATGCACTTAATCTTAGCTTCCAACATTTTGAAACTCATCATCATGTAAAACTATTCTCTCTTGTATTAATATATGTGAACAATTTCTTGAAAACTCTTTAGGCATGAAAATTATTCTGTTTTATCTTTGTTTTCTTGTATGTACTTTTAAGCTGGAACTGAGCCTCCAGCATGTTTTTAGAGGCCATAAATTGCATGGGAGGAGATTGTGTATCTTTATTCTGTAGAGCCCCTGACGGATTTAAACTGCATATCTTTGGGTTGGCAGGGTAGCTTCTTATCAGTAGGCCACCAGAGGTTCTTTTTTGTGTTCTTAGTGTTTGAAATTATCTAAGTGATCATTAACTTGGTGATTTCTTCATAGTCTTCTGTAAAACTGGCCAACATTTATTGATTGGTTCCAAAGTAATGTCTACATTTTTTTAAGAGAAGCATATTTGAACAGATAAAACCTCAGCCAAAAATCCTTGTATTTTTAAATCAGTCATTTTGATTTTGAATGCATTTTTCTTGAAACAGTGGAAATCATTCTGAGTAATTAATTTAAAACCCATTATTTTCTGGATTATACTGTATGTTATCAATATTGCTGTAACTTAATGTAATTGATAGTAATAGTCAGTTCATAGTTTGATAATAAACTATTTTTTTAATTTTTATATTTCTAGATTTTAAATTTATATAGTTTTAAAAGTCTCAGTGGACCTACATTAGTAAGAAAGTTGTTTAAAAATTTTTTTTACGCATTTCTAACAGAAGATAATTAATTTGCTTTTTCATTTTTTACTGGGTAAAAGCATTAGAAAAAGAATTGTAGAAACAAGTAGTCTCATTTTTTTCTATTAAGCAAGTCTTTATAAAACTGAGTATTGTGTACCAATAAATACTTCATTAAATTTTTGCATTTTTTAAAATTGATACTTAATGGATTTTTAAAAATCTATTTGTATAACAATTTGCTTTCTACTTTTTTCTTTTCTTTTAGGCCTCATTATTACGTTTTCAGAGTACGCTGGTAATAGCTGAGCATGCAAATGATGCTTTAGCACCTATTACATTAAACACCATCACTGCAGCCAAACGTCTTGGAGGTGAAGTGTCTTGCTTGGTAGCTGGAACCAAATGTGACAAGGTGAGAAATCTGTAAGGTCATCCATAGCAAATATAATCTCCATCAAGAGACAGGGGAAGATGGCAACTGAGAATTATGCTGGGGACATAACCCAAACTAGGCTGTAATCCTCATTAAATGGCCAGTGTCACAACTACTACTGTGTGTGAAAAAGGAACTAAAAGGTGTGTTCTCTAAAGCATTTTATCTTTTGAAATGGAGCAGAGTGCTTGATTTAGTTCCACTGGCATCATCATGTGCCATCAGATACCAAGTAAAATGGTAATATTTGAGTCCCCTTAAAGGTTAATAGCCAATACCTTTTTTGCACTGATGAATATACTTGCCAATTGCATTTAATTTCTGAAAGTGGTAAATCTGGACCACGTATCACAGGTATTAATTTTTATATACAAGTTGAAATGTGTCATTCTTACAAACTATGTTAGTGTTAAGAGATAATATTGTTTGTCTTTTTTGGTTTCTCTTTTTTAATGTATTGAAGTAAGATGATGACAACATTGGAAACTTACTTCCTGTAAAGATTCTATAATATTGTTTACAGAGTCTGTGGTGCGAGGCTGGAGAAATTATTCTTAAGTTTTATTTACATGCCTTAAACCACGAGTTCCCTCTCATTCAGTACAGAAACTGGGAACTTGGAACTCAGAGGAAGAAATCTAGAGAGAGCATATTTCATTTTAGAACATTTTGTTTACTTGTTTTTAATTTGGTGGCGTTGCTACAGAATGTTGCAGGTTCAGAATACTTGTGTCAGTACAGTTTGGGGCTTTTTAAAATGCAAAATTCCTATCTTAAAAGAATGGATTAAAATTAAAGGATGGTTTAAGTTTGTTGTTGCTGTCAAATCAGAATTGGCTCATCACTGACCCTCTAATGATAAATCACACAGAAAGATACCGTTTAGGATTAAGTTATGGGGAGTTTAAAAACCTAAATCTTACTAACTGTTAAATCTTAGATAGGTGATATTAACCACAACATATGATGGTAGACTAAGCTATCTTTTAGTTGCCTTGCTTTTATATATTATGGGTTATTTTTCATTTTTTCTCTGTTCTTTTAAATAATTATTCTGGCAATGAGAGAGAAAATTACTTTAAAATATCTTAAACGATAGTATACTTACATTATTATTGAGAAAAAACCCAAATCTTCTGTACTCAGTTGCAATCTTACCATGTTACGCTTTGCCTTAAAAGTAATCACTACATACATAAAGACTTTTTATAAAATCTAAATAAAATTTAGAATTATACTATTTTCCCTAGCTATTTATTACAAGGACTGACTAAAAAAGTAGTTTTGATGGGAAAATTCTGTTCTTTTTAGAGTTATTTGGGCTTAGTTTGACATAGTCTTAAAATTCAGCTCAAAATTCATTCATTGTTGTTGAATCATAACTGACTTGTAACTGACCCCTGCGAGTGTTTTCTGAGTCTGTGTATCGCATGGGAGGAGATTGTCTCTCCTATGGAGCTGCTGGTCGGTTAGGATCGTAATTCCCTACCAGCTATTCACCTAGAGTTCCCTGTCTTAATGTTAGAAAAGGCTCCATAATAAAGGGTGGGGGTCAGGGAGAGCCTCTAGTGTCAGATAGCCTGCCAGTGAACACTTGGTTTATTATGTGATTCATTAGAGGTACTTTCACACTATGTCTTCTCTCCATTGTATGGTGTTGCCACTTCACAGTTCACCGAGGGGTTCAAACAGCTCAGCCTTTTGTACAAGGTGGTTATAAGTGAGTCAGCGTGGATATAGACAAGTAAACAGGTGCTGGTAATATGACTGACATGACTCTGCTAAAGGGAAAGCAGTACGGTGTTAATTAAAGATATTTAAAGGGAATTCTAACTGCCTTTATATGCAGAACATCTGAGTATTCAAAAAAGCTTTCTAGAACGAATCTTTATTCCAAACAGGAAAAATGAGGAATTGATATAGAAATTTTGATTTTTCATAGGTAAATATATATAGTGTTACTGTGTGCCATTGAGTTGGAACAGACCTGTAGCTGATCCTCCAGTGGGATTTCAGAGGTTGTAAATCACCCAGGAGGAGACTGCTCATCTTTTTCTTTGTGCAGCAGCTGATGAATTAGAACTGCTTATCTTTGGATTGGCAGCGCAACTCCTTACCACTAGGCCACCAGAGCTCCCTTAATATATGTGTAGGGACAGGAGTTGACAGTGGTCTATAACATTGTCCAGGTACACTAATTTAAATATCATCAGAAAGTATTATTATTAAATAAAGTGCATCAGCTTGTGAAGTAGCATGAATAAGTCTTGTTCGTCTCTTGGAAATCTTGTAAAAAATATATTGGCTGTATTGTTACATGAGAGAAAACCTAATTATTGCCTCATTTTCACCATTTCTAAAATGACAAATTTTCAGTGATATTAAAACAAAAATAAAGAACACAGTTTACAACTAGATTTAACTAGAAAGCCATCTTGATCTTGATAAGTATTTTTTTCTTGCAAATTCTTTTTAGTAAGCCTATGGAAAGTAAATCAGTCAATGGGCATAAAAGTTCCTTTGTTAAATTTTTTCTTTCTTTTTTTTACCTAGTAAGATGTTGGCTATCATATAATTTGTCATGATTAACTTTTTTATGTTTCTCACATGGTTGTTTTAAAACTTTCTTTGTCACAGGTAGTACAAGACCTTTGCAAAGTGGCAGGTGTAACAAAAGTTCTGGTGGCCCAGCATGATGCCTACAAAGGCTTCCTTCCAGGTGAGACTTTTCCTTGGAAAAAATGTAGTGTCTAAATTATGTTTGAACTTTTGACTGTGAGGATATTATGAAATGTATTCATCAAATGTGTTTAATTCTCAGAGGAACTGACACCATTGATTTTGGCAACTCAGAAGCAGTTCAGTTACACACACATCTGTGCCGGAGCATCTGCATTTGGAAAGGTGAGAAGATTGAATGTGTAGGATCTAATGTCACTACTCTGAATGGCTGGAATTTACTATGTAAAAAAATGTATGTTCTCTAGAGAAGCAAAATCAATGAAAGATATCATATGAAAGAAATATGTATATAGAGGAATATATAAATACATATATACACACACACACACACACACGTGTGTGTGTGTGTAAAGAGAAACTAAGTGTGAGAGAGAGAGGTAGTGTGAGGTGTCCAGGACGGCAGAATGGAGAAAGGGAGCTGTCAGCATTGTCAGGCTGGTGGTTTTGTATCAGAAGTTGATAACATCCAAAGGTTGTTATTGGGAGACTACAGATTGCTTACTTCAGAGGCTGGCACATCTGAAATTGTTTTTAGGATGCAAAGTAGCTGACTTTGGAGACTACCAGCTGACAGCTTCAGAGGCTGGCATGTCCGGCTGTTGTTGGGAAACAAAGTTGCAGACAGCTGGCTTTGGATACTGACCAGTGAACACAGGCCCCTCATTTAAGTGTGGAGAGCATGAACGAGATCTCCAGATCTAAGTCTGACAAAAACCTTTCTGGATTTTTTGCCAGAAAGTCCAAACATGTAGACCCATTGGGGTCCCTGAAGAGACTAAGGCTAATCATATCTTTATAAATCCTACTTGCTTGCCTTATTAATATCATCATGTTATTGTTGTTGTTAGGTGCCATTAATTAAAGTATGACTCATCACAAACCTATAAACAGAAGATCTGAACTTTGACCTATCCTGTACCATCCTTACCATCTCTGACGTCCTTGAGCCCATTGCCACAATCACTGTGTCAGTCAGTCTCATCTAGGGCCTTCTCTTTCATTGACGCACCACCTTTCCTAGCATGATGTCCCCTTCCAAGGAATAGCCCCTACTTACAACATGTCCAGAGTAGGTGAGACTAAGCTTTGCTATCTTTTTTCTCTAAGAAACTCTCTTACTGCACTTTCTCTAAGACATAACAGTTTCTTCTTTTGCCAGTCCATGGGCAGTCCAGTATTCTTCTCCAACACCACAACTCATAGGCATGAATTCTTCTGTCATCCTTATTCAGCTTTAGCACTTTAAGAAGGTCCTTGACATAAGATTTCTCCAGTGCAATATTTTATTTTTCTTTCTTTCTTTTTTTTAATATTTTATGAAAACATTTTATTGGCATTTTGGATAGAAATTTATTTTCCAGGAAGGATAATCCTATCATACTTCTATTGGAAGAGGCACATGGCATCCTCTTTGCTGATTCTGTGTTTGGCTCCATGCAGCCTGTCTTGTGTTGCTTGTCTGTTATGCTTAAATCTGGCCTATAAAGTACCACATAGAAGTACAAGCCATACATATCCATGCTGGGGTTGTTTTTGACCCCCAGATCAATGTGTTTGTGAGTCCTCAAATCAATGTTTCCAAAATCTGAGAAGTTGTTTTTTTTCTTAACTCTTATTTCTACACCTTTAAACCTTTCTCCAAGATTTCTTCTACTTTGGCCCTTTGGACTGTGCAGTGGAAACCACTTTTTTTTATTTCACCTAATGCCAAAGGACCTGACAGTGTGTCTGGCTTTGGAGAAGATGTGAGTCTTGTCTGTGAGCTGCTCTAGCACCTTGGCTGCCCAAGTCAGTCTGTCACTACTCTCACCTACACAGATGTTGAGGCAGAGCTTGTGGATGCGAAGCTCCCGTATGGTGTTCCCTTTTCGTGCCTTGATCCTGTACCATAATGGAGAGCGGGAAGAGTATCTTTTGACTCCTTGACTTTTGCTACCATGGCTGTTGTTGCTGTTGTTATGTGCCGTCGAGTCGCTTGCGACTCATAGCAACCCTATGTACAAAAGCCCTAAACTCTGCTCTGTCCTATGCCAGTTGCACGTCTCTGACACGCCCATCCCGATTATCCCAGTCACTGAATCAATCCACCTCATAGAGGGCCTTCCCCTCCTGCACCGTCCCTCCACCCTCCCAAGCATGATGTCCTTCTCCAAGGACCGGTCTCTCCTCACAACATGTCCAAAGTATGTTAGACGGAGCCTCAGAATCC